TATCAAACAATATACACTCCAACTAAAAAGCCACACATACAAGAAGTCCAAAAGGTTGTTTCTTAAAAGTTATAAAATGACAAAAATTTATCAATATTTATAAAAAAGGAGAAGACGGACACAACATTTTCTGCCTCTATTCAAAAAGAGTCATGTACCACAATGTTCACTGCAGCTCTATTTACAATAGCCAGGACATGGAAGCAACTTAAGTCTCCATCAACAGATGAATGGATAAAGAAGATGTGGCACATATATACAATGGAATATTACTCAGCCATAAAAAGGAACGAAACTGAGTTATCTGTAGTGAGGTGGATGGATCTAGAATCTGTCATACAGAGTGAAGTAAGTCAGAAAGAGAAAAACAAATACCATACGCTAATACATATATAAGGAATCAAAAAAAAAAGAAAAAAAGTGGTCAGAAGAACCTAAGGGCAAGACGGGAATAAAGATGCAGAACTACTAGAGAATGGACTTGAGGATACAGGGAGGGGGAAGGGTAAGCTAGGACAAAGTGAGAGTGTGGCATGGACATATATACACTACCAAACGTAAAATAGATAGCTAGTGGGAAGCAGCCACATAGTACAGGGAGATCAGCTCGTTGCTTTGTGACCACCTAGAGGGGCGGGACAGGGAGGGTGGGAGGGAGGGAGATGCAAGAGGGAAGAGATATGAGGACATATGTATATGTATAACTGATTCAGTTTTTTATATAGCAGAAATTAACACACCATTGTAAAGCAATTATACTCCAATAAAGACGTTAAAAAAAAAAAAAGAAATGGTGCAAAGGATGCATTATCCCTGAAGGACTAGAACTAAAATACAAATCAATTTTCTATAGCTTTCTATTGGAATTATCATTAAATATTAAACAAAGATTGATGTATACCGAAAAAAAGCGCTCCTCTTATTTTGTGTTTTTTTAATTTGGAAAGCATTTTTTTTAAAAACAAAATGAGTTGTGGAAAAGCTATTTTAGTATTTTATAGCTATTTTACAAGTGCACCCATAATTTCATGGGAAGCAAAACAATCACAACTCAGAAATTTCATTGTGCAATAGAAAAGGTACAATCACCCAAAGCTGCATATTTTGAGAATCAATACCAAATAGCAAAAAATACATATCTTTTGCAATTTATACACAGTTTAGAACTACTCTCTCAATCATCCAAGAACCAAAGAGTAAGTTTTTATTAAAATGAAATAAAAGCATTGACAGGGCTTCCCTGGTGGCACAGTGGTTGAGAGTCCGCCTGCCGATGCAGGGGACATGGGTTCATGCCCCGGTCCGGGAAGATCCCACATGCCGCGGAGCGGTTGGGCCCGTGAGCCACGGCCACTGAGCCTGCACGTACGGAGCCTGTGCTCTGCAACGGGAGAGGCCACAACAGTGAGAGGCCCGAGTACCGCAAAAAAAAAAAGAAAAAAAGCACTGACAGCTATAAATTCACCCTGATGACATAACTAACCACTGGTGATACAGTCATTTACAAAGAACATCATCATTTTGCCTTCAGAATGCATCTTCTCCCTGCTGATACCAGACTGTACATCAAATTTAAACGACACACAAAAAAGCTAGCATCATCTCCCCATGAGCTAATATTATCTCCTCATGCACTATTTCCAAGAACTGCTAAGAGCTAGAGGCTTTTCTAAAGGGAAATATTAGAGCAGGAAAAAAAGACAAATTCATCCAATTTAAAAGCCCAAATTAGTTACTCCCCTAATTGCATTCATCTATCATTGTCAAAGCTACTTTTTTATTTACTTAGATTTCTAATTTGAGGGAAAGCAAAAAAACATTTAATTACTTAAACATAAAGTGGAATATACAGCATACAGAAGGGATCATCAAAACAAAATATCTGCTATATTTATTTATATAATTTTACAAAGTTTTTTAAACTAAAACTTCTCTCTCAACACTTTATTACAGTTGTATATATAATTTGCTTTAGCAGATCAAATAATTTGTGATTGACTAGAACAGAGAATAAGTGATATTTAGCACACATGATAAAATGAATAAACTGGAAGTCATCTGTCCATCTCATACTCATTATTTCTAATCTTAAACTTCCATTAACAAAGTCAGTGTTAGAATTCCTCTAAACTTCTCTAAATTGCACCTTGAAGGTGCAGCTACAATAAGATGCTGATTAAATAAATAAATCTATTTCAAGGGGATAGGTATTTTATTGAAACTATATTAATATAAACAAGAAATCAAGCATTACATAAAGCAAAGAACCCATACGTATATCACTAAGTCCAAGAAGCAGCTTTCCTTCAACTAATATAAAGTGAATTTCGTAATTCTTGGAATAAAATTCAAAACCCAATTAAATATTTTTCTAAAAGAGCAATCAAATTCTAGTACTAGAACTGCACATTTCCTTAAAAAATCATTTTTAATGTCTTCCAATGTTTGGTAGTTTGGCATTACAGAAATAACTGCAATATACTGTACTATTCTTTACCCTTTTTTGATGTTATAAATATTCCATAATAATTTTTTAGAGACATAATACATGTAAGATATTATGTGTGGACCCACCACCCAGTTTAAGAATATTACCATTACCTTTGATGTTACCAATGAGTCTTTACCTAACCACTCTCTTCTCAGTTTCCTCAGATGTAATTATCCTGATTTTTGTGTTTATCACTTCCTTGATTTTCTTTATGGTTTCACCACCTATGTTTATGACCCTGAATATACTGTTTACTTTGTAGGATTTTTAATCTTACATAAATGAAGCCACACTGTAAATATTCTTCCAATGCTTGCTTTCATCATTCAGTATTATGTTCCTGATTTTAATCCATGCTTTTTCAGCTTTCGCAGTAATGTATCTTCACTGTTGTACTACATTTCATTAAATTAATATATCACAATATATTTATTGATTTTACTGTTGGTGGAAATTTATGTTGCTTCTAGTGTTTTGCTATCACATAAACAATTTTGCTCTTCAGGCTCTTGTACATATCTATTGGTACCTGTGTGTGCGTGAGGTCTGCTTGCAGGGAATACAAGCCTTCATCTTTAGGAAATAGCGTCAAGCTATTTTCCAAAGTGGCTGCACCATCTAAGCTCCCAGCCACAGCTCATAACTATTCCACTTGTTCTACTGCTCCTCCAACACTTGAAATTGTTAGACTTTTCATTTTTGCCAATCTGTTGGGTGTGAAATCGTATCTCATTGTGGTTTCATTTATTTCTCCATCTAATAAGAAGGCTGAGCACCTGCTTTTCATGTTTACTAGCCAGTCAGGTTTCCATTTCTGCAATGTGCCACTCAAATCTTCAGCCCGTTTTTCTATTGGATTATCTTCTTCTCATTGACTGAAAGCATTTGCTATAAATTCTGGATATCATTCCTTTGTCAATTATATGTGTTTTAAGTATCTTCTCCCTGTTGTATTTTTCGTTTTCATTATAGTGTCTTTTGATCAGCAACGGTTCTTAATTTTAATGTAATTGGCTTTTTTTCAATCTTTCTTTTACAGTTTCTGCTTTTTATATCTTATTTTAAAACCGTTCCCTACTCTAAGGTCATAAAGGTTTTATCCTACGTTACCTTCTAACAGTTTTACAGTTTTGACTTTCACATTAATCTATCTGGAATTGATTTTTGTGTATGGTTTGAGGTAGGGGTCTAATTATTTTTTTTATTTTTTTGCCCAAACAAACAACAAACTGTCCCAGTACCATTTACTGATAAAAAGTTCTCTTCTCCATTTATATGCAATGCCAGCTCTGGCCCAAATCAAATTCCCACATACAAAAGCCTGAATCTAAGATTGCTTTCAGTTCTAAAGTTCTACTCAACTGAAGGCACTAAAACGTCTTGTGAAGATAAGTTGAAACAATTAGTTTCAACTTCAAGAATTTTTTTTAAAGAAGAGAACATGGCAAAAGAATCCTGACTTGGAAAATGTGATGAAAAAAAAAAACTGCAGAGGGTTCAAAGAACCTGAGTTCTAATTCTCATTTAACAACTTACTGACTATGTAGAATTAGACATTCTAAGTTGTCAAAAATAATAGTACCAAGAAAAGGGTAAAAACACTTACCTTTTTCCCATGTATATAAGGTCACTTAATAAAAGTTCATAAAATTATACTAAACAATATTTAAAAGATAAATATAAACAAAGGTATAGTTTAAATAAAATGTTACCATCCCAAATTTTAGTTTTAAAAGTCTATAATCTAATGTGGAATTTTTGCTCTAACTTCTAATTTTGTATCTACCACAGTTTGGTGCTCAAAAGACACTTGTTGACTTATATCAACACAATCTAATTAAAGACCAAGCAAGGTACAGAATGTTTTCTAAAAGGTGTCTTCTTTGTTTGAACATTGTTAAACACCCATACAGAAATCTGACCCACTTCATAAGGGATAAAGTTTAACCTGAAGAAAGAATTTTCCATTAATAAAATCACCTTTAAGTATATTTATCTTATATTATCGATACTCTTTTAAATAGTCACAGAAGTTCAAAATACACCTGAATACTTTTCATCCAAGTATAGACATGACTCCAATTAAGCATCTCTATTAAGCCAATTTGGAAAATACTCTAGGTACAGAAATCTATTGAAACAAGTCTATAACACTTAAGTGACTTTGGTTGCTAACCCATCCCCCAAAAGCCAACCATTACACAGTTAAGGACTTTCTTATAGAATCTTATTTGTAATACCTACTCATGAACAAAATCATAATGTACACATGAACTGGTAGTCACCTTTCATTAAGATTCTAACTACATAAATGTAGCACTGCCCCATGGGAAAAAAAGTAGCTTAAACAGTTTAGATCTTTATCTCCCAATTATCTTCTGGCAATAAGAAAAACATATTCCGACACTAATTCCCTATTTTCATAACCTTAAAAATAAGCCCCTCCAATCAGGAGCTGGAAACACGTGAGAGAGAAAATGTTAAAATAAATCATTAATAACATATTTACCGGTTTGATTCGAAGCTGACCACCCACCACTTCAAGAATGGCATGTCTTCTGGACACTCTCTTATCTGTTATCTACATGAGAAAAAAAATTAAAATTTCAAACACAGCCACCTGCCTAAAAAACAATAACAACAAACCCCACAGCAACGTTTCTGAAATCAGTAGGCTAGATATGAAATCTATTATTCATTCAACAACTGTATATTGAAATGACTGTCCTCACTGAACAAATAACGAAACAACTCAGAGATTAAGGGACCTTAATCACAGAAAAATAAACAGTGAAGCAGAGACTCAAGGTTGGAAACTAACAGATCCCAAAACCTTTCATGATGGTTTCCATTCAAGACAGACATTTAGTAGGGATTCTTATCAATAAAATTCATAAAATGAGAAAAAAATCTATATAATATGTACTTATCAGGAAGCATTCCAAATACAGATAAGATAAATTATGTTATAATGACAGAAGGTCTCAAAAAGCAGCAGTCTGGTAAATGTAAAAGGTAAGACTACAAGCTTTGGTGTCAAGCAGACCCAGGTCAGGCAGACCTGCATTTGAGCTCAGGGCCATTAGCAGTAGTTAAGAGAACAGGAAGGTAGGAGAGGGAGCAGTGAAAACCAAGTATTTACAGTGAAGAAAAAAATTTTAATTATATATTTGCTTCCTGTTTTGAGCCAGCACTGTTCTACTTACTCTCACAATCACTTCTGCACACCAAAGTTTAAAAATTGAGGACTTCCCTGTGGTGCAGTGGATAAGACTCCACGCTCCCAATGCAGGGGGCCTGGGTTCGATCCCTGGTCAGGGAACTACATCCCATATACATGCCGCAACTAAGAGTTCACATACCACAACTAAGGAGCCCGCCTGCCACAACTAAGACCTAGTGCAACCAAATAAATAAATAAATATTTAAATAATAATAATAATAAAATAAATTGCAACCTTCACTTCTGCACTTTCTATTTCCCCTCTCCACAATTAAAAAAAAAAAATTGCTTGCACTTTCAATGTTGAAATTGCCAATCAAGCCTTCCCTGCATGGCTATTAACAGAACAGTTAAGATTACCTTTGTAATTTGTGACTTTATGTAATGAAAACATTTTAATCACCAATTTTACTTAGCACCATAATTATCCGGCCTACCTCTTCATTACCTTAGTATCTATCACTTCATCTCTGACCTTATCCACATCAGGACCAAAATTATCAGTAAAAGCAGACTGTAGCAAAGCCTAAATTCAAGTAAACCCATTGGTTCTACAAAAACTTGCAAAAATATGAAACTTCCAGGAATCAGTACTCATTATTTTAGCCAACGACTAATTCCACACTTAAGGCTGTGACTATATAAAAACAGAAGCATCGCAGTGGAATAAATTCCACATAGTGAATATTCCACACAGCTACAGTTGATTTTTAGAACATTTTCTAAAATAAAATATCTTAAAGGTAGCCTATTTAAAATATATCCACTATTAGCCACAATGGCTATTTCAGACAATTAAATATAAACTAGTAGCCTATTCAATCAGAAAAGAGAGGACAGAAATTTGGAGGTTCCTATATTCTTCCCATAATATGCCTTAGTGGGCCCAAAACAGCAGTTATCTAATAATCCACTTTACCATTTGCACAAACTTTATCATTTGCATAGAACTTTCACTTAAATATTGAGCTTCACCCTAATACTGTCACAGCTATTATTCACATTTTACATATTTGGAAGCTGAAAGTCCAGAGAATTCAAGTTGCTTGTGTAGGTCACTCTTCAAGCAGGTAGGACTCCAAATCCATACTTATTAACAAAAATAAATACCTGAGAAAAACAGTCATATATTACTCTATGCCTACATGTAATCATTCAGAAGTAGTTTCAAGAACTGCAAATTACTGTGTGGTGAGGAGTAAGAAGTTTCTATTTATAACTTGGAGAGTAATATCTTATTGTTAACTTCAATAATACAAATTGATTTTCTAACCAACAGAGTAAGAAACTGCCCAATATAAAACCATGACATATAAGGATGGTTCCTGTAATAGTCCAGCTTGGGTTTCTTTCTTTTTCAAACCATATTTTTGCAGGAAGCTATAATATAAAAGTATAATGTGACCTCTAGTGGACACATGTTTCTACAACAATGTAATTTCATCACAAGCTGTGCATTTCTATAGTACCCACAAAAGTGTTTTAAAGAGTCTTTGAAATTAACATCATTCAGGCATTTAGCTATACCTGTCCCTTTTAAACCACACCTCTAAATAATGAGTAAGTTACAAAATAATAATTTATGCTTTTTCAATGGAAAGTTTAGAGATTTAACAAATTATCATTAAAGCTTATTTGAATCTCAGGATGTGGATGGTGAGAAGCGGGTAAGGTCACAAACAGATCCTAAAGATCTGATGGCCTGCTTTATGTAACAGCAATCACTGCTCCTTGTGCAGAGTAAATATTCATACATTCTTATTAACATACTAACTGTAATGGCAATTATTTACCAAGACCAAGGCACTGTTCCATATTTATCACATATGTCTTTTTTCATCTTCACAAAACCTGTGGAAGATACTACTATCTTTGTTTTTCAGGTGAGAAATGGAAGTGCAGATAAGTTAAGCAACTACTTAAAGTTACACAGCCAATAAGCAGCAGGACCAGGATTTGTGATTCTAAAGACATCTTTGCTCTTGGTACTGTACTGCTTCCCTCATTATCATTATGTAAAATATCATTTTTAGATGATTTAACATCAGCTTGACTGTAAACTAAAACATACTAAAAAACTGGAAATAAGGAAGAATGGCTATTTATTAAGCAAATAGACATTCTAAGAAAACTCAAGCCCTAGATAAAGCTCCAAGAGGCCTTCAGGCTTTCACGTGGTCCTGTTTATTCTAAGATCACACCCAAGTCTAATGAGATGAGTTATCTGAATTCCCAGCTGTCTATTCACAGCAGATAATATAGTGCATAGGGTTTAGTAGTCAGTGCATTAACAATGATGTTGGTCTGCAGGTGGAAAGGAAAAGGCTGTAGAAAAACAAAGAAACATAAAGACTCAAAGGAGTACACTGGCTAGAGACTCCTGGGAGTAGGACGAATGGCATAACATCCTTCTCAAGGTACTAAAGGCTTATCTGAGTTAACTTACTGATTACCAAGAGTCATCAGGTTTAAACAAAAACTTCATTTGAAAGTCAGACATTTCGCATCTTAGAAAACCATAGAAGTAGTTAAAATAGAGGAATTCCAGTGTCCTACCAAATAATTGTAGCCACCTAACTTCTAATCACACCACACATTCTCCAAAAAAATCAGAGATCAACAAATACAGCAAATAAAACCACCTATTTTCCACATCTAAAGCACAACTAGGAGACAGGTTACCACTAACTTTAATTTACATGTAAGAGGGGAAAGAAATGCCAAATGCGGATGAAGCTTCAGGATCGATGCTGGAACAGAATTTAAGTGGCAGTTCGGAGGAAGAGAGAAGATGGGAGCGAGAACCACAAAAACGTCACCCCTTGAGTGGGAAAGGCTGAAAATGCATCCCACATCCAAGAGTTCAGAGATCCAGCAAAATTGAAAATAATTTGGGCATCAATATGAATAATAACAATAATGGAATATAACACACTCAATACAAAATAATCCATGAGTTCATACTGAACTCAAGAAAGGGGCTGGGGTCAGGGCTGGGAGAAAAAGCCTTTCTTTATAAAAGAATGACAGCTCACATAGAAGAAATGATGGAATGAGGAAATCACAATTTTGTAACTACTAACATTAATTGACTCAGTAAAGTAACAATGGATGTTAATTTTCAGGTGAAAGCTTGATGGGAAGCAGAATACTCCTGAAGTCTCAAAGCATCACTCAGATTACTCACAAAAAGAATAGCATCGTCTCTGGATAAGTCTGATAGACACCACCTTCCACAAGTGATCACATTTATAACCAACAACAACAGGACAAAGAGAGAGAGACCTGGGCCTCCTGACATGCTGCTCTAAGTTCATATCACCGATGGAATGTTCTTGCCCAAAGTGTTTAACCTGAATCTAATTATGTGGAAACAATCAGACAAATCAAAATTCTGGGCATTCTATGAAACAACTGGCCTGGACTGCTAAAAGCATTAATGCCATGAAAGACAGCTCTAGATTAAAGAAGATAATATATATTTGATTGGATCCTAAATTTTTTTAATGCTGAAAAGGACATTATTTGAAAGTTGGGTAAAACTGAATATGGAATATTAAAATTTACTGCACCATTACAAATTTCTCGAGTATAATTTATATAACTTACATATATAATGTATATAGAAATGTCCTTGTTTTTAGGTGATACATGTTGGCATATTTGGGGATGAAGTGCCATGCAATGTACTTTCAAATGAGTTCAGGAGAAAGAGGAAAAAAAAATGTGTATATATATATATATATATATATATATATATATATATATATATATTTATACATATGAGAGATAAAGAAAAAGTAAATGGGACAAAATGTTAACCATTAACTAACCTAAGTTAAGGATACATAGGTGTTAGTTGTACTAGTCTTTCAACTTTTCTGCACGTCTGCAATCTTTCGAAATGAAAAGTTGAGGCAAAAATAGTTAAAATTTCAAAAATGTTGGTACATTTTTGGTTGGTACTAAAAGGGTTATCATCAGGTAATGGAAAATGTAGTGTACACAACTGCTAAATAACATAACTGAAGTGTGATTTAATTTACACCTGTTCCAGTGAAATTAATAACCCTCTATTTTCTACATGCTCTTTCTATTTTCTACATTTCTACATGCTGTTTTAAAATATTCCTTTGATTTAGACTAAGCACCACAAACTGGTAGCCAACACACCACAAGTCACTCAGTATCTTTTTTAATTTTTACTTTGAAGAGTGTATGTACCCTCCACCTCCCCAGAGTGCCCAGCACTCCCTATAATCTTCCACTTAGCCGGCTTCACTCTTTATTGCATACCTGGCCTCTGCAGGCACGTGAATTTGTAAGTCATGATTTAAACTACACCTATACTTTTTAGA